ATTTGAGGTCCCTCCAAACCCAACCAGTCTGGGATTCTGTGCAAAGCAAGAAGTGAGAGGGTGGAATTGATGCCAATAATTTGTGCTCAGTTCTAAAAACGTTTCAGGTGGTAATGGCTGAGGAGCAAGTTCTGCACTTCCCCTTCTCCCAGTGCTTCACACACCTCTTTTAGTGAGGATTTGTTTCCTACAAATTCCAGCATTGTGGTTTTGAGACTATTTAAATGCTGGGATGTGTAATGGAGAGTTTCTCACAGGGAAAAGAGTTGTAAAATAGCACTTTAAATATTCTTCTCTAATTAATACACTCTCAGTGCAATCCTTTTGGAAAATACATCTATGAGTAGGAAGAACAATCCTGAGATGTTAATGATGAATATCTTCCTCTCTGATTTCTTTATTTTAAGTGAATCTTCTTGAGTACAAACTGATTCCATAATACCCATTTATTTTCTTGTCCTTGCTTAAGAACACCTGTCAAGCAATGCTTGAAGAAAAGGAACGCAGCTAAAATCTACACAGGAAAATGAACCTGCTCTGAAAAGAAAATAGAATTTAAAATGCTCATAAATAAAAACATTAATAATTTTTAAAATTTATATGCTATTTATTTATTTTCAAAACATTTCTTTGACCCAGTAAGAAAACAACAGCTTTGCTTTTTCTGCATTCTGGATATTTCTTCTTTCCAGTGTGTTGCAGTGAGTTAATTATTCCAAAAAGTGGCAGAAGAACCTTTGGCAGAGTCTGTGGCTGCAGGAGCTGGGTTTGCCCTGGGCTTTTATGGCTTTTAGTCTGGCTCCTTCATCTTTTTTATTCTGATTATTGAGGACTCTTTGCTGAACTCACACATGCTCGCGTTCCCTGGATCCCAAATGCCACATTTTTGTGGACCTGGGAATTCGAGTTGGGATTTCCTTTTGGTGTTCAACTCCTGTTTGCATTTCTCATCCAAAACTTCCCAAGTGTCATCGTAGAGCCTGGGGGTGGGCACAGGAAACCCTTGGAGGTTTGGGGTTTTAGGGGTTTGGGATTTTAGAGTTTTGGAGTTTTGGAGTTTTTGGTATTTTGGGGGGTTTTGGAGCTTTGGGGGTTGGGTGGTTTTGGGATTTTGGGGTTTTGGAGTTTTAGAGTTTTGGGATTTTGGAGTTTTTGGGGTTTTGGAGTTTTAGAGTTTGGAGTTTTAAGAGTTTGGGGGTTTTGGAGCTTTGGGGGTTGGGTGTTATTGGGGTTTTGGGGTTTTGGAGTTATTGTCATCATTCTGTCCTTTGGTCTGGGACCAGACATTGGGAAGCTCCCACAGCTCCATATTCCAGTGAAAATGACTTTGCATGGATGTCCTCATAATTGAATATTGACTTGTTGGGATGGTTTTTGGATCTCTGGTGCCACAGAGAAATTTGTCCCCGGCTGCAGCTGTAAATTCTGTAAATACAGCCAGTGCAGGACTCTCCCAGCCCAATTCCTGCTGTGCCAGGTTGGACAGAAGCTGGAGGGAACATTTATTTGTGTTTTATTTTCCTGCTGAAGTCTGGCTGCTCGTCCCCTCTCTGACTCCCAGCTTCTCCAGTCTGGACTAAAATAAAGACACATTTTCTGCCTCCTACTCAGCATCCATCAAAACTTCTTTTCTCCTCAGGAACAATTAATTAATTACTTCATTAATCTGGAGAAAGGTGTTGAATGCACTTTGGACCTCTCAGAAGATGGGGGTGAGAAAACAGAGCCATTTCTCCCCAAAACCTGGCAGCAATTTTCAACTTTGAGATTTGCTGCCCAGCATGGGGCCATTGACCTGAGCAGAATGGAAACAGGAGCAGGAATAAATTACAAGCAGAGATGAGGAAAATGCCCAAACCAGATTTGCTATTCAGGAGAGCTCGCTTGAATAATTTCCTCATGCCTGAATTAAAATCTCTCCATGTGCTCCTTAACACATCCAAGGGGGAGTGGTACAACTGATTCTTCCATTGGGAATTTCTTAAATCTGCAGGTTGGTCTTTGGGACTTCTCATGATTTTTAAATCCTTGGGGCATTAGTTCTAAATACTATTTCTAAAATTTAAACATTTTTAATTTATTTTTTTATTTCTAAAAATAAATGAATAAAATTTGCTTCTTGTGAAGATGAAGGGTTTTGACCCTTTTACCCAGAGCAGGATTTGCTCTGCTCTATAAATGCACTTTGCTCTTACCTCACCTTTTGTTATTTTATTATTTCATTTCTGCTCTGAAACATGATAATGGCACTGGGAGAGAGGGGTGAGATTTGTTCTCTTGAGTTCAGGGCAGTGCAAAGTGTTCCATCTTCATTTTGTACCTCTTGGAGTTGTCACAATGTTACAGCACTTAAAAAAATGGTAATTTTAGGTTAAAATGATGTAAAAGTTTGGCTCAGTTCTTATCCGTAGAGTGTGCTGGCAAATCCTTTTTTAAAGAGTATTTGCTCAGAAAAATGGAAACTGATATTTTGTGACCATCGATGCCTTTTAGTCTCATTCTAAGAATTATATGAGTGACCACTGTCAATTCAAAACTGCCTCAAGTGAAAATAATAATTTATATTTCAGCTTTGCTAAAAGGGTATAAAGATACCCAAATAAACATTTTTACTCTTTCTTTATAGTCTTCTCATGGTAAATTTTGCCCTTTCTTTTCATCCCAAGTGATGGATTTTACACCACTCCAATTTACATTTTTCCTCTACAAATTGTGAATTGTCACTGACCTGGAACAGTCTCATCATACCATGTATTTTTTTTTAATTCAGGACTCCAGAACAATGCCTTGAATATTAATCTAAAATCCCAAACCCTGTGAATTAATTAAAACTGGAAGGGGATCATGGACTCGGTGTTTCACCCAACATCATTCCTGTGATCCTTCTTCCTGGTGGTTAATTCCAGCCTGGTCCATGACTAAATCTATTGAGCCATGGTTGGGTTTGGGTTTATGCTGTTGAAAAACTGTGATTGTGTGTAAATTAATGCTGTTAAAACCCTTGTTTTAAGAACTTTAAGGGATGTGTAAGTGCACAATGCCATAACCTCCAAGGGGGCGTGGCACAGAGTGTCTGGAGCATCTCGTGGCAGATCCATTCCTATTTTTCAATGCCCCAGTCTGGATTCCCCAGCCCCTTTTTCCCCGGGCTGGTTGGGCTGAGCCTGGTGCTGTGTGCCCTGCAGGTGTCTCCCAGCAGGCAGCACCCCGTTAAAATTCCCGCTTTTCCCATTCCAGGGGGTTTGGGCCCGTCGTCATCGATAGCCATCGCCGGCACCAGCCAAGCTGCCATCACCAAGACCACGTCTGTGCTCCAGGACGGCGTCATTGTCACCACTGCAGCTGGGACCCCTCTGCAGCAGGGCCAGCTGCCCATGGGGGGCGAGTTCCCCTTCGCCGGCCACGACCACTCGCTCCACTTCCCGCAGAACAGCTCTTCAAACAACAATCTGCCACATCCTCTGAATCAAAACCTCCTCAGTTCCCTGCCTCTCTCTCTGCCGGTGAATCAGCAACATCTCCTAAACCAGAACCTCCTGAACATCCTCCAGCCTTCGGCAGGAGAAGGCAAGTCTGAGGTGAACCTCAACCCTTTGGGTTTCCTGAACCCCAACGTCAATGCTGCTTTAGCGTTCCTCTCGGGCGACGTGGACGGGCAGGTTCTGCAGCCCGTGCACTTCCAGCTGCTGGCAGCCCTGCTCCAGAACCAGGCCCAGGCAGCCGCCATGCTCCCCGTGCCATCCTTCAACGTCACCATCTCCGACCTGCTGCAGCAGCAGAACGCCCCCGCGCCCCCCGAGCCGCTGCCCGAGGGCGGCAGGGTGGAGAACCTGCTGCCCGCCGCCGTGCCCGGCTTCCCGGGCGCCGACCCCGCCGCCAACCCCCTGCTCCTGCCCGCCGCCCCCGGCGCCTCGGCGCTCATGGCCCTGAACCCGCAGCTGGTGGGGGGCGTCCTGAGCTCGGGAAGCCACCCCGAGGTGGCCATCGCCACCTCCTCGCAGGCCACCACCACCACCACCACCACGTCGTCGGCGGTGGCCGCGCTGTCGGTGTCGGCGCTGGCCGGGAGCACGGCCGTGGTGTCCATGGCGGAGACGCTCCTCAACATCTCCGGCGGCGCGCCGGGACCCGCCAAGCTCAACAACAGCTCCGTGGTGCCGCAGCTCCTGAACCCGCTGCTGGGCACGGGCCTGCTGGGTGAGTGCAGCTTCTGGGGGGAAGGAAAACCTGAGCAGCTGTGGGGAGGGAGAGTTCATGAATGGCCAGGTTGGAAGAGATCTTCAGGGTCATCGAGTCCAACCCAGCCCCAACACCTCAACTCAGCCCTGGCACCCAGTGCCACATCCAGCCTTTGTTAAACACACCCAGGGGTGGGAACTCCACCACCTCCCTGGGCAGGACATTCCAGAACTTTATCACTCTTCCCATGAAAAACTTTTCCCTAATATCCAACCTCTATTTCCCGTGGCACAGGCACCTTTCAGGAGCTGTGGGGAGGGCTGGGGTCACCCCTGAGTCTCCTTTTCTCCAGGCTGAGCACCCCCAGCTCCCTCAGGGGTTCCTCACAGGGTTTGTGTTCCCAGCCCCTCTCCAGCCTCGTTGCCTCCTCTGGATGTGCTCGAGCATCTCGACATCCTTCCCAAACCGAGGGCCCAGAACTGCACACAGTGTTTTCAAATTCAGAATTTCAGATTCTGGTTTTATCTTCCTTTCTTCTCTTGCTGTTGTTGGAGCTTGCTCATTGAGCAAACGCAATTGTTCTTGTAAGAAACTAAAATCGCGTTTTGCTTTCATTCCTTAATGCTTAATATTGATCTTGGAAATTATTAATTCTGCCACCTCAACCTGCTAAATCCACCTGGAAGTTGTGTGAGCAACTGGATTTATTTCATTGTTCAAGGAGTGGCAGCTCAGGAGCATCCCTGGGTCAGCTGGGAGTGCCTGTGGCAGCACAGGGTTAGCAGGAGCAGCTGTGCTGGAGATGACAAACAACCAACATCTCAAAGCAAGCAACAAAAAACCCCTTAAATAAAAAGGTTTTCCCTCCGGGGTGATGATTTCTCAGTTATTTTTACCAAAAACATATAATGGAGTCGGTGCTCCTCTGTTGGTAGTCTGCTCCTGGTGAGAATTAAATAATAATTAAGTACTCACCCCGACCTGAGTGGCTGCAGTGAGCTCAACCTACTTGGTATTTTCCATACAAAATACCTCTAACAGTGACTTTTCAAATGGGAATTTTTAGGAAAACACAAGATATTAATTTTAAAAAAGTAAACAACCTAGAAAATGGATGTGGTTTAAGCTTTATTATTTCATAAAGTCAGATTCAACAGTATGGTTTTTTTAAAGAGGTAAGACATTCATGTAAAGTGAAATTTTCGTGTAATAAAAAACGTTAATTCAACTTTTACTCTAGAATGTAAAAAAAGAGTTGTTTAGAGTGTTGTGTGACATGGCTGAGCCAAAAATCTTTTTCTCCTTCCCAGATGGTGAAGAACTCATATTCTTTGGGGATTAAATGTTTGTCTCATTCTCTCTCCTCCTCATCCCCCTCACCACCCCAGCACTGTTTCAGTGAGATTCCAAAGCCTGGAATTCCACAGAAGCTCCTCCTGCCATCCCTGCTGTCCCAGGAGTCAGGAGAGGTGACACCAAAGACCCAGCACGGAGAATTTGAGAGCAGGAGAGCCCCATTCCCAGAGGATGGAGGGAGCCAGGGTCGTTTTCCAGAGGTTTTCTTGGCACTCAGTGGGATTGGGGTGCAGGGAATTGCTGAGTGGTGTTTGCCTGTGCTTGCCTTGCAGGGGAAATGTCATCTCTGAACACTACTCTGAACAACCATCAGCTCAGCCACCTCCAGTCACTCCTCAGCAACAATCAGATGTTTCCTTCAAATCAGCAGCAGCAGCAGCAGCAGCAGCAGCACCTTCTCCAGGGCTACCAGAACGTGCAGGGCTTTCAAGGCCAGCCCCAAATTCCTGGCCCAGCCAACAACCCAAACCCCATGGCGTGTCTGTTCCAGAATTTCCAGGTAGAAAACAAAATTAAATCAATGTTCAAGCCAGTGTGCAGCTCTCAGGAGGTAAAATTCCATCCTCCAGACTTTGGGGTTTTTTTGCTGATTAAGACAGCATCATTTATATAATTACATGAATATAAATACATTTGTTGCATACAATATATTATTTCAGTAGCTGATGGGCTTTGCAAATCAGGAACATTTGTTATTGAAATTTTATCACTTTCTCCTTAGGAATTTGGTTTAGTTGCTTTGGAAAGAGTTATGCTGCATGTATTGCAAAAAAGTTCCTCTATATGCTGACAATCACTATAGAATTGTAACAAAACTCTTTTCCATCCCACAAAAATGATCCTAAATGCCTGTTTAGCCCATTCCTGATAATTCAGCAGCAAGAAATAAATACTGATAGCACTTTGCAGTAATTAGAATTAGTAATTAATAAGTTGTTCTAAGTGACTGTGTGCACCAGTCCTCTGGTATTCCCACTGAAATGGGACGGAAGAGCTGTGATGGGGATTGTGCAGCCTGGAAAAACAGGGATGGGAGTGAATAAACAATGACAAACTCAGCAAAAATGAGACTTACCTGCTCTCCACACAACAGAGTTATTCCTAATTCAGGTTGGGTATCACCAGGGCAAAACCAGGTGACAAACCCAGGGTGCAGGTGGGAATTCCTCAGTACTGCTGCAGAAGTGCAGCTGTGAGAAGGGAATGCAGGGGGGCCAGGAGGAGAAAGGAGCTGGGGAGAAATTTCCTTGGAAAATCTCAGTTCTCAGCCTGTTCCCTCTCTTGCAGCAATTCCCGTCGCTTTAGCCCAGTATTTTTTTGTGTCACATTTCCAGTTTTATAAATAGTCACAGGAAGTAGTTACAGGGCTTTTGGAATATTTTCCCTGTGGTTTTTACAGTTTTTGTTGGAGTGCTCTTGTTGACATCGTGTTCCCTGCCTGTGGATGTGACAAGGAGTAGGAAGAGCTCAGGTGGTTGAATCTGGAGGTGCCAGTTTGCTGTGGCTTAGTGTTCTTAGTTTTATCTTTTCAAATACTTTTAAAATGTTATTCTATTATTAGTCTCAATAAAAAATAAAACACAAAAAATATAAAACTCAACACTATTGTATTAAAAACCAACTTATTTCTCAGTTACAATACTTTATAAATATGTTTTAACTTACTAACTTTTACTACACAATATTACTATCCTTTCTAACACTAATCACATTTTTCCCCATTATCTTACTACAATACGTCTTTCACAATTCTAATTCTCTAAAATATCTAATCTCTTTACAAAACCATATATTAAAACTTATTTCCAATTCAGTCTTTCTCCTAACAATATAATCTCTATTCCATAGGTAATGATCTTCTTAAATCAACAACCTTATTTCAGTATTTACCTACAAATATACAAAACTGCATAGATTTTCTATCCATTTTTTAAAGTTCTCTATAAATCCGTTTCTCACTAGACAACAGGCACGTGGGATACTGGGGACTGGAGATCCCATGGGAAAGGCACACAGCAAAGGGGAAAATAGGATTGTGGACCAATTCCAAAAGCACAGTGGTGCCATTCAGGAATTCACTCAAGGACAGAAGCAGTGCTGGGGTCTGGGAAGGAAAGAAAAGGAACTGAGAGCAGAACTCGGAGGTTGTGGAGTTGAGGTTTCTCCTCCTCTGGAGATGCACAGACCCCACCTGGATGTGATCCTGTGCTCCAAGGAGGCCTCAGAGCATCTTCCAGTGGCTGGAGGCACTGGAGAGACAGGACAAGGAGGGATGGGTTCAAACTGCCAGCAGGGAGATTTAGGTGGAATATTGGGAATTCCTGGCTGTGAGGGTGGGCAGGCCCTGTGGCTGCCCCTGGATCCCTGGCAGTGCCCAAGGCCAGGCTGGACAGGGCTTGGAGCACCTGGGACAGTGGGAGGTGTCCCTGCCTGTGGGTGGGCTTTGAGGTCCCTTCCCACCCAAACCATCCTGTGTCTCTGTACCAGAAATACTGACCTCGGTGAAGTTGTTTAGGACTTGAGAGAAAACAGGAGCCTGCTGACACAAAGCCTGAGACAGTTTTGTTTTCCTCTAAGTCAGGCTTTTAATTGTCACTCCACCTTGTTCAATTTGTACCTGGTGTATAAAAAAAAGAAACGTGCTGTAGTGAGTAACCACAGAGTTTATCTGCTGGAATCCAGCTGGAGTTCAAACAGCAATTCCCATCTTGTCTCTCCTTTCCCCAGGTGAGGATGCAGGAAGACGCCGCCGTCCTCAACAAAAGAATGATCACCCAGATGGGAATGGCGCCGGTTCCCGAGAGCTCCAACACTCTCCTCCCTCCCTTCCAGGAGCCCCCCTGCGACCTGCAGCAGAGACCTGACCCATCCCTGGGCCAGCAGGCCAAGGACAACCCCAACGCCGCCGCCGCGGGCGACGCCTCGGTGGACGCCATCTACAAGGCGGTGGTGGACGCCGCCAGCAAGGGGGTGCCGGTGGTGATCACCACGGCCGGCTCCAGCGCCGCGCAGCCGAGCCCCATCCCCGCCCTGAGTGCCATGAGTGCCTTCACAGCCTCCATCGGGGACCCCCTGAACCTGTCCAGCGCCGTCAGCGCCGTCGCCCACGGCCGCGGCGCCGAGCACGAGGGGCGCGGGCGCGGCGGGCGCGGCGCGCGGGGCCCGAAGAGCGCGGAGCACGGCAAGAACCCCGGCGAGGGGGACGGCTACGAGTATTACAAACCGACCGCTTGTAACACGCCCAAAAAGCAGTGGGAAGGGGAGCAGAGCCCCGGGGGGGAGATCAACAGGTGGAAATGCGAGGAGTTCCTGGAGCACTCCGCCCACGTCCACAGCAGCCCGTGCCACGAGCGGCCCAACAACGTCTCGGCGCTGCCGCTGCTGCAGGCGGAGCAGCACCAGGCCCTGCTGGCCCAGCGGAACTGTCAGAGCGAGAAAATGCTGGAGGAGAATTTCAGGTATAACAATTACAAAAGAACTATGATGAGTTTCAAGGAAAGACTGGAGAACACTGTGGAACGATGTGCACACATCAACGGGAACCGCCCGCAGCCCAACAGGGCCTTCGGGGAGTTGCTCAACACTTCCAAACAAGACCTGATCCTGGAAGAGCAATCTCCCAGTTCCTCCAATAGCTTGGAGAGTTCCTTAGTGAAAGACTACATCCATTACAATGGAGATTTTAATGCCAAAAGCATTAACGGGTGCGTGCCCAGCCCCTCGGATGCTAAGAGCATCAGCAGCGAGGAGGACCTGCGGAACCCCGAGTCGCCCTCGTCCCACGAGCTCATCCACTACAGGCCGAGGACGTTTAACGTGGGCGACTTGGTCTGGGGCCAGATCAAAGGACTGACTTCCTGGCCTGGCAAGCTTGGCAGAGAAGAAGAGGTTCACAACTCATGCCAACAGAACGCTGAGGAGGGGAAGGTATATCTATGTCTCTGTGCACATCTCTCTCTCCCCCCGCACCGGCACGCAAATCAAAATTTTGTCTGTGTTTTGTCTCTTCTTTTAGCAGCACAAATGGCTTTTTTTCCTAGCTGTAGCTTGTAGAGCTGAATTTCCCCTTCATTTCCCGCCAGGGCCATGAGACAGGTTAGATTTGGGCTTTGCTAAATGATTTTTTGGTGTTAACAAAAAGTGGTTCTCGCTTACATGGTGTGTGCAGACAAATTCCTGGCTGTGTCCAAAGCATCTGATACGGAAATACCTGAAAGTGCTGAAACTGCAGAAAGGAGAAGTGGCCTCATCAGATTGAGGAATCTTTAATGAGTGAAATCTTGCTGATTGACACACACTTCTCACAGGAAATGCACACACATTTCCAACTCTAAAGGAGGTTTTGATCGTCATTCAGTAATAAGGAAAGTGTTCCAATTTGCTCTTTCATACTAAAATTCTTCTTTTGTGTCAACAAATCATGTGCTTGTTGGGGAATATACAGGAAATGCAGTTATCAAGGAGTTATTGGTAATTTTATTATGAAAAATATTCCCAAATCTGGTCTCCACTGCTTGTGTAACATTTTATCTTTGTAGTTCTTACAAAATGCTGCACATCTTCCACTTATAAATATTTCTGCATAAGCAGAAAGTGGAGATTTAAGGAAATAGGGGTTTGTCAGTGACACAAAGAAATCAAATCACTTAAAACAGAGGAGAGTGGGTTGGACCAAAGTGTTCTTTCCCCAAAATTCAGTCAGGAGCAGATACCCAGAGGAGAGAAGGGACAAGAAACTCATCCATCCCACCCCAGCCCAAACCAGGAGAGTGTTTCAGAGCTCATCCCTCAGGGAGCTCAGATCCCTGAGTTACAGGTCAGGTTAGGAAGTGGAGGCACAGGAGAAGGTCACAAACTTCTAGGGATGAAACAAAACTGGAAGAATTCCATGTTCAATATCCCTGCCTGAGTCAGGAGCACAGGAACACCATTCCCATTCCCAGGGTGCTTTTATGGATTAACAGAATCTGTGTGTCCAGACCTCTGTGAATGTTTAATAGAAATGAGAAGTTTCTTTTTTCTAGCTTGTGCAAAGAGGGGAATTTTCTGACCTGCATTCCTGAGCAATTCCACGTTTCCTCCCTGATCTGGGGATAGCAGAATGTGCTGGAGGTTTTGTGCAAACCTCCTTTGCTGTGGTGGGGCTTCGTGCATTGTGTGGGAATTGTGGGATGTTAAATCCACTGGCACCCATTTTATTGGGTACTGAACACAAAACCAGGGAAGCAGGTCCTTGGAATGCTCACAGCAAGGTGGAGACCACTGGAAGTTCTCCGTGAGGAATTCCCACATCGTGGATCACCTCTGGCATCAGATCACCTTGAATTAATCATTAGAAATTAAAATATGAAAGAAATGTGTCTAAAATTCCTTCGTCAAGAAGTGTGGGGTGAAAGCCATTCCAAAGGGCAGGAGTTGAGGGTGGAAGGTGGGATACACAGGGAAAAACCCACACCAGACCAGAAGAAATCACCTGGAAAACCACAAAGAAACACCCTTGGAAACCACAGAGAAACACCCTTGAACACCAAATGTTCTTCAGGAATTCTGCACCAGCCCATGGTGGAAGTGACCTGCAGCACTTGGGAAAATTCCTTTTTCTCTGGAGCTTCCCGAAAATGTCTTTTAAAGCCTTTGTGTAACCAAATGTGACCCTCCCATGTTACATTAATTTGCTGTTGGGATTTGTACATTCTCTGGTCTTTAGATTGTTTATTACTTGGTTTTTGTTTCCATTTAAAAGACTTTGGGCACTCAGGTATTTAATGGGATGATGGATCCAAACAGGAGGAGGAGGAGGAATATTGCACTTCCTTTCCTTGGTTTCTGGCTACTGGAAATTAGAGGAGCCCGAGGAAGTGCAGCAGAAATTTCTGGGAAGAAAAGGAGCCAGCCTGAGTCTAATCCCAAACCAGAAGAGTTGTGTCTCATTAAGCAATTAATTTGATTATTACCCACCTTGGTTATTACTCATCACCTAAACAGGACCAGAGCAATCAAAGGTTTTGTGGGAGCTTTTCATGGTGAATTTTACCAGGGCCAATCCTGCTCTCAGTGGGACTTCCCAGGTGTTAGACTGGGCTGGTTCAGCCGGGCTTTTCTGGGGCTGCAGGTAGAACAGGGAGGGTTCCTCCCATGTGTGTGATCTGCTGTTGATATTGATGATTATCAATTGTTATTTCTGTTGAAGTTGCTTTCCATGCCCTGTTTTGTAGCAATTTGACACTTCTTCCCAAAAAACCCAAGTGTTTTTTCATGTATAACCATCACAAAATGCCAATAATGATTTTTTTTTTGTTGTTGTTATTTAAAGAGGTCCTTTGTTTCCAAAACATGATATTAATTCTTGATAACATTATTTACATTGAACTTTGCAATTTCTCTCCTGGCAGCCCTTGGCAATTTGTTCCTGAGATAAACATTTCTATCACGGAGAGGGATAATTCCTTTTTTCTCATGTTTGTCCTTAGAAAAGCTCCCCAGGATCTCAGTTTGTCTTCTTCCAAAATCCAGTGAGGGGAGGGGTTATTGGAAATATTTGCATTACAAGTGAGCGGGTTTTAAGGGAAGAATGCTACAATTTGTGACATAGTTGAATTTATTTCACAAAAATTGAAATCTCAGCTCCCCAAGTGCAGATTTCTCCATTAATGACTCCTGGAAGTGCCTGGATCAGCACATTCCCAATTTTTTTAGCACAGGTGTGACGTCAATATATTGAAATCTGATTGAATGTGTGTAAGTTTGGGCTTTATTTGGAGAGATTTTGGCAACTGCTCACGCTTTACTTCCACCTTGTTGTGTCCACACGTCAGATCTGTGGTGAATATAAATTATTTAGGAATTGGAAGGATGAACTTGGAGGGAATTTGCATTCCCACTTCAGTTCCAGGTTGTGTATAGGCACACACTCAATACATTTGTATTTGTGGAAAATGTCAAGTAAGATGTAGCAAAGAAACAGGAACTGAACCATTTCTTATCTTTAAGTTGATGTGTTCTAAATATCTGATTTTGTTGTTTTTACCAGCAAGAATGACTGAGCCAGATCAAAATAATCGAGTGATGTGGCTTCAAGTTTTGAGATGCAAGTGATGAAATTATAGAGATGTTATAATTAATTTTCTGCTTGTATTGTTTACACTGGGACTTACTGGTGCCCACGCATTGGTTGAAATGGCTTCAATTTAAAATATTCAAGATTTAAATTCCCAGTTCTCTTTGAGCACGTGCCCAAATTCATCCCTGATCGCTAGGGAAAAATACAAAATAATTAAAAGAGCTGATTTTAAGACAAATAAGTAAAGCTGTGGTGAAGATTCCTGGATTCAGAAGGCAAAGAAGGATTTCCTTCTGGAATGGGAATGAATTTGGCCGTGCCATGAGCTGAGCAGAGGCCTGGAAATCCTCACCCAGGAGCTGGCGGTGATGGGAACACTTTGGAGTAAAAATGGGATCATCATCACCATCACCAGGCACTCAGAATTCCAGGTGTACAATCCATGTGGGAAAGCGAGTGCAGAGTGAGACACTCCACCAGCACTGCCAAAAAAGATCTTTAAAAGATTCTTCTCCTCAGTTTTGTGCCAGGAATGTCCCGAATTTGCATTTCTGTTGCCGCTGGTGAGAAATCCCAGTAATGGATAAAGGTGGGAGGGGTGGGCAGCTCCAGGTGCTGTTCCTGCCCTGCTGCAGGGGCATCCCCGGGCTGGCACAGCAGGAAAGGTGGGATTTGCTGCTCTGGGTAACGAGGTTTCACAGAATCCCAGAATAATGAGGCTGGAAGAGACCTCCAAGATCATCAAGTCCAACCCATGCCCCAATACCACAACCAGACTATAGCACCAAGTGCCAAGCCCAGTCTCTTTTTAAACACATCCAGAGATGGTGATTCCACCACCTCCCTAGGAAGACAATTCCAGTATTTTATTATTCTTTCAGTGAAAAATTTTTTTCCTATTATCCAACCTAAACCTTCCCTTGGTGTCCATCCCTTCCCCAGGTGGAGCCGGAGAAGCTGAAGACACTAACGGAGGGGCTGGAGGCGTTCAGCCGCGCCAGGAAAAGGAACAGGAAGTGAGTCCATCCTCCTCCCCACCAAATTCCAGCTTTTCCCTTCCTCTGCTGCCCTGCTGGGCAGCCCAGCCAAGCTGAGGGGTTCATTTCTTGGGGTTCCTCATGGTGGTTCTGGAATCTGAGGCTTTCCGAGGGCATCTCCTCCGGGAAACATCCCCTGTGTGGGAGCTTCTGGTGGTATAAAAGAAGCAAAAAGTCATCCCATGATAATTACCCTGCCCAAACCACACTTTTTAACCAGACCTGAGCTCCTTCCTTCTCCCCGTGGCAGCTGAGCACGGGTTATGCTGAGAAATCCCCTTTATTCCCACTGCAGGAATTGTGCTGAGCTCTGGCTCACACCTGTCTCAGCTGCTGGGCTTTATCCAACTTTCACCTTTTAGTGACAAATACCAGCGTAGGAAAACTGTCAAACAGCAAATCTTGGGGCATGAAGCGTCAGGATGGGCAAAAAGAGGAAAATTACTGAATTTTGGGAGGAAAAAACTCCTCTGGACATCTTTAAAGGGATGACAGAGTAGGAACTGTGCTGTGATTGGGTTTGTTCTATGATGGTGTTTGTTTACTGTCACAGGGAAAATGCATTCCTTAAACCTGTGAGAATTTAAACTCAGCTCTGAGTGAGCACAGGCTGAAAGGGATTAAATAATTCCCTCTCTTCCCCTCCTTTAAAGGGGTGAGCTTTGCTTCTCCTGTGTCCCACGGGGCCAAAGAGAAGGAATTTTTATACCAGTGACACGCTGGTGGTGGCTGTTTTTTCCAACATCATCCCCAAAATGCCTTCCTGGATTTTTAGGGAACACAGAAGGGCTTTTGGCAATTTCCCAGTTATTTATGCATGTCCCTGAAGTGAAATCAGTGACTCAAGGACAGCAGGAGCAGATTTAAAGTGGTAAAAGCTGACACAAACTGCTGCTTTACAGCCCTCACAGAGGTTTTTCTCCATATTTCAACTTCTTTCCTAGTTTGAATCCTTTAGTGGATATTTCCTGGTTTCCCCATGTCCTGCTGTAGATTTATCTGGCAAAGTTCATGGGTTTCTGTCTGGTTTGTGATGTGCTACTGGCTTTTTATCCAGGTTTTTTAAACATTTAGTGTTAAATACAAATAGAGTGCTCATCACAGAGGCCCAGGTTGGTTCAGCAGAGCAGGATTGGTCTCCAAGCCCTTGAAACGACCTTCACATCCCACAGCTCCATGAATTCTCCATGAATTCTCCATGAATTCTCCATCTCAGCCCTTGTGTCCCTGCTGGAGGCACGTCCCTGCTTTGCACCCTGCCACGGCACAGCTTCCTGAGCTCTCCAGCTGTGCTCTCCAGCTGTGCTCTGGAGGTTTCCCCTCCTCACCTGGCCCAGCTTTGCCTCGCTGGGCTCTGGAGTGATCCCTGCTCCACTGGGCACACTGAGCGTCTCCAGGGGCCATCCCCCAGTCCCAGCTCCTTCTCGTGGCCTTTGCTGCTCCTCTGGCTGTTCCCATTTCTCTCCAGTCAGGAAAGTGCCACTTCCCATCCCCTCCTTGCCATCCCCACCAGTCCTGCTCGGTTATTCCAGGCTGAAGTCCCATCTCGGGTGTCCTTCCTGCTGGACGTGCCGTGGGCAGGGCTGGACTGAGGTCCAGCAAGGGAAGAGCTGCTGAAGCCTCCACTGCCTTCCCAACTTCCAGGGTTGATTTAAATTGGATTTTGGGAAGGAATTCCTGGCTGGGAGGGTGGGCAGGCCGTGGCACAGGTGCCCAGAGAAGCTGGGGCTGCCCCTGGATCCCTGGCAGTGCCCAAGGCCAGGCTGGAGCAGTCTGGGATGGGGGAAGGTGTCCCTGCCATGGCAGGGGTGGATGGGATGGACTTTAAGGTCCTTTCCAACCCAAACCATTCCAGGATTCTGTGGTTAAAGAAAAGGTTTCCATAGGAAGTGTCTCTGTGAGGGACAGGCCTGGTGTCCCAGCAGGGGACAAGGTGCTTCCTTACCTGTCTGTGCCACCACCTTCCCTCGTGAGCAGACGTGGATCTGCTCATCCTCCATCTCCTCATCTCCAAAGCAGGACCTGGCACCATGTCCCAGTGGGAAAAGCCCTTCAGAACAAAGAGACCCCACAGAATGGTCACTGTGAAATGAAATGTGCCTGGAGCTGCCCCGTGTCCTGGGGTGATTTGGGGTTGGAAGAAGGAAACCGTCACCCCACCTCTCCCTCAGCCTGTGGGGTGCTGCCATTCCAGGGTAAAAATGGGAATATTTGAGATAATTCATGCAGTTCATTGGAAGTGAGAAGGATATTTAACTTTTCTTCTGTAATCCCAACGCAAACCTTTCCTTTCCATAATATTGTTACAGGTCTGGTCTTGCTCCTTGTGCTCCCAGCCTGGGAGGCTCCAGGCTCAGAACATTCCCAATGAATTTAATCTGTTTGTTATTCACTTTTCTCGAGTTTCCTTTCTGTCCTTGAAAATTACTGACACCTTTCATCTTTTCTCCCTAGAAGTGGAAAGCTAAATAACCATTTAGAAGCTGCTATACACGAGGCCATGAGTGAACTAGACAAAATGTCTGGGAATGTAAGTTCCTTTTCCTTGGGAATATTCTCCTTTTCCATGTTTCTGCATGTGTGTCCATTGGAGGGAGGCTTGGTTTGGATGGCTTTCTAACAAATTCTGGGTTTATTTTCTGGAATAATGAGGAATTTTCAATATTTCCCCTGCATTAAAAACTGTTGGCAAAAGTCTGATGGTTCTGAAAAACGGGAAAAGTTGTAGGATTTTGAGTACAAAACTCTTGAAATTCAGTTTTCCCCATAAGAAATGAAAGATATTGTAATGAAAGGTAAGTTTAAAAATATATATTTCTAATATCACATCCAAGAGTGGTTTTTCCACATTAATTACACTGTTATGGTGTAACTCCAGCATCTTTCCAATAACAAGTTTGGGTTATAAAATATCCTCATTTTTATTTCTAAAACATGGCTGTCATTTCATTGCAGCCCACCTAAAAAATAAAAAACAAGTCTATCACAGCACATGTAACCTCCCACATCTTCTATTTGGTTATTAATTATTCAAATGATTAATTATAAAATGTTTGAACCCAGGGGAAAAAAAAGTTTTTTGCTGATATTCAGTGCTCAGGACTGAAGATATGCACTCTTGGAATTTACAGTAACACTTTTGGAGCTTCTGGAGTATAAAAAAGGAAATTTATTTCTATTTATTTATATATTTGAAGAACTGGAGGCTTAGAGCTGATTGCAGACCCAACAAGAAATATTTAAAAAGTTACTGAGTAGCTTTTAAGTAAGAACCCAATCAAATCTTTCGTTAAAACTGAATTTAACAAACTGAGATTTGAGCTTTGATTTAAAATAACGTTGCCGTGTTTCCCTCCTTTGGAAGGACCAGGAAAGCAGGAGGGGATTGTTGGTCTGTAACAAATAAATTTGGGATGGCTGTTTGGGCTGGCCCATCCTGCTGCCACCTTTTCCCAGCCATAAATCCAGCAATGTCCAAAGTGCTCAGGGGAGACGCTGGGTTGGATTTGCTGCTCTGCTTCTTCTGGCCCCAAACTGCACCTGCAGTGCCTGGGTTGATCCTTTTTTGGCAGAAATTTGGGATCAGGGGAAGTGCTGGGGCTCAGTTCCTGTGCTGGAGCTGCAGCTGCTGCCGACAGATGGTGGTGGAGTTCCACACCAGCTCAGCCTTCCTCCTCCTCCTCCTCCTCCTCTCTCCTGCTTCTCCCTGAGCCAGCGATGCCAAACTTTGGCTTTTCCATCCATCCGGCATTAGCTGGGAATTCAATGTTTCCTTTTAAACACAAAGAGTTTGCTGGACATCCTTCATTCCTTAATAACAGCCCTGAGCTGGACTTCTCCAATTTCCCATTCCCAACATTTTCTCCCCATATTCTCCCTGTGTTTTATCACTCTGGTCACTAGAATGTGTGAAGGTTCGTCACTCAATTTGCCATTATTGCAGTTTGGGATCAGTCCCCAGTTAGGGGGGTTTAGTCCCTGATTTGGGGGTTTCAGTCCCAGATTTGGGGGTTTCAGTCCCTGATTTGGGGGTTTCAGTCCCAGATTAGGGGGTTTAGTCCCTGATTTGGGGGTTTCAGTCCGTGATTTGGGGGTTTCAGTCCCAGATTTTGGTGTTTCAGTCCCTGATTTAGGGGTTTTAGTCCCTGATTTGGGGGTTTCAGATTTCAGTCCTTGATTTTGGGGATTTCAGTCCCTGCTTTGGGGATTTCAGTCCCTGATTTGGGGGTTTCAGTCCCTGATTTTGGGGTTTCAGTCCCCGATTTTGGGGTTTCAGTCCCAGATTTAGGGGTTTCAATCCCTGATTTGGGGGCTGTTTCCCAGCCACTGCAGCTGCTGTCTCTCTCCAAGGTTTGGGATGCACAGGTGATGGAATCAACCTTTTCCTCCCAGTTTCTCCAAGCTGTTGAAGCCCCTTTATTCTGTGTAGCTGTGAAATGCTCAGAGTTGTTCCTGGCAGCCCCTCGAGCCCTCCTGCAGCTCCTCGATGCCCCTGACCACTGTCCTTTGCTAACTTGTGAATATACTTATTTTTAGGTCCACCAAATCCCGCAGGGAGACAGACAAGTGAAGCCTCCAAAACTCAAGAGGAGGAAGATCTCTAGATAACATTGAATGTCTTTGTTACTGGTCCAGTCCTTATCACAGTGAACGTGCACATGAGTCTATCTGTAGGTGTTGATCCCACGTGGGTCTGTCAGTATTTCTGTGGAGACAGCTCGCTGCCATCGCAGGGCACCACGAGGAGCAGTGGTACCAGATTTTGGATGATTAGGAGGGATAGAGGTTGCTGGATAAGCCAATCAGAAATCTTGAAAGGTTGCAGTAACAAATGTCAGATGATTACTGAAATTTTTTTTTTTTTTTCTATAATACTAAAAATTGTGATTATAAGAAATAGTCCAAATGTTTCTGAGAAATTTTCATTGTGTATATAGATAATACAGAATTTCATGGTGATATCTGAACTGTAAATATTGTACAATATTGTCATGTACAAGCGTACCTAATGCACACTTTATCTTTTATTGTACAAAAAATAGTGTACAAAATTCTTTGGTTTCTATTGAGTACACATACAAGAGACTACCAGTGTAAAGTGATAAATAAAAATACAGCCTAAATGCTTTTATATGATAATGTAAAAGATGCTGTTTTTGTATTTAACAGCAGAGAGAAGGCATGATTATGTAATACCTTAATTATGACATCCACTTCACGCCACTGAGTGTTCATTGCTCTGTCTGTCTGGAATGAACCTTGCCTGGAAGTGCTGTACTCCAGTTCAGGCCCTTAGGAGAGCGCAGCCTCGAGATTCCCAGCGGGATGTGGGATCACAGCTCTAATTAACAATTCAAAGGCTGCAACCGCTCGGTTGCGTTTTGATTTCCTTAGCTTTGAACGTAGAACGCCGTAGATTTGATTAAAAAGGACAAAAAAAAAAAAAAAAAANTTGCGTTTTGATTTCCTTAGCTTTGAACGTAGAAAAAAAAAAATTTGATTAAAAAAAAAAAAAAAAAAAAAAAAAGAGTAGAGGGACTATTTTAGTCAAGCATTTCTGTAGGAGAAGTTTCAGAGCCACCTGAGGAACTAAACAGTCGATCCCCCCGTAACGTTGAGCCCCTCCAACCACCCCCTAGATGAATTAGCTTCAATTATCTAACGACATTAACGCGGTGCTTCCTCAGAAGGGGGCAGAGGCCCTGCTTTCAGGAGTGATCAGGATTGATTGCTGTCCATTTCCTCTGGTTTGGCAGCAGGATGAAAGGGCAACGCTGCGCAGCGGCCGGGAAAAGCAATCCCAGGGTCCATCTCGCAGTATTAAAACGGAAAAAAGTTAAGGGTGGCTTACAAAACTATTAGCAACAGTAATTTTTATCAGTATTATGTAACATATCAGATTTATTTTATTTAAAAAGAATTATTTATACCATTAACAGATTCTTATATATATTAATGTGGCTGAAATGCGCAGGTTAAATCTATTAACCAAATTATTTATGTTATATTAAGTGAGAAATGTGAAACATATGTAGAAAAAAAAAAAATTAATACACTACAGATTTAAAAGTCTAAAGCTATGAGAAAAAAAAAAAATTAATACACTACAGATTTAAAAGTCTAAAGCTATGAGCCATTATAAAATTAACGAATGGAAGTGTAGCACAACATTCTTTCCATTTGATTTCATTTTCCTTTTCCACACGGCCGGTGGCGATGGTGGCGGAAGCCGTGGCACGCTCGAGGCTTCCCGAGAGAACTCCAGGCACCATTCCCAGCCCCGGGTGGAGCTTTGCCTGCCCCCCTGGCGCCGGGCACACCGCTTCCCTCCGAGCCCCGCGTCCCGCCCGTCGCCCCCCGGCCCATGAGCAGCACCCCGAGGGTCCCAGGGCTGGGGGATCCCAAGGATCCCGAGGGTCGCGGCTCCTTCTCCCCCTGCCCGAGCGGCACCCGTGGGTGCCACGGGGCAGCGCTGGCAGCGGGGCTGGGTGCCCGGGCACGCAGCCACCCCGGGCTGGCTCCTGGCCCGGGCGGGCTCCCCTTCCTTCCTCGGGCAGGTTCGCTTGTCTCTCCTCCTCCTCCTCCTCGCGGAGGCTCCCGTTCTCCCGTGGCCGTGTCCTGGTGGCCCTTGGCTCTTCCATCCCGATCCGAGCGCTGGAGCCCATCTCCCTCGGGATTTCCTTTGCCTCCTCCCTCTGCTCCGTGTCCCAGAGCTGAGTTTGTGTCTCCTTTGGCCCTTAGGTCCGTGCTCCCTCCCCGCTGTTTTACTTTACGTCCCTAAGATTATGTAAAGTATTCTCGTGCACTTGATTTCCTCGGTTAATAATGGCATTGATGTGGGTGCTAGGAGTAGTTTGTTTCAGTCCATACCAATTCTTTTTTTTTTTTCCTCCTCCTTTTTAAAAGTTTTAAGGGTTCATGTAAGCAGTTAATGTAAATATTGTGAGCATTACAGGTCATGCAGTGTTGTAACATTTTAAGAAATGTTGCACCGACTTTACGATTAAAAAACTGGTCACTCATACTTGAATTTTGCCCATAGAGCCATTTCTTTCTCTTTGCATTAAAGCATAATCTACTTTTTTGATGGAGGCCCAACCCTTCTTTCTACCTTATTATTTTTTGTTTAATAAATCTCTATTTTTTCTAATAGAAGACTTAAAAATCAAAATTTAAAAAAAAATACTTTTTGCCTACTTTCTAATTTAAGAGAGAATTCCTATATTTAAAAGGTGGAGAAAAAAAAAAAAATACAAAAAAACACACCAAAAAAAAATACTCCATTGTGGAAAGTGGAACACCACTGGATTTGTCATTAACATGGCACAATCACCCGAAAGTGGCTGAGTACAGCGAGCCCACGACGCCGATCAGGACCTCAGTAGATTTAGGGAACGCCGTGATTCCTTGAGGATGTAAAGTGTTGCATATTCTTGTCTATTTATTTATTTATTTATTATGCTTTCTTTTGCTTAAGTGGGTGACAATGTGGTTGAGTCATTCAGATGACATTCAAATTAAAGGAAATATTCCTCTTTCTATTATGGTGCGTTGTGTGAACGCCATAAACGAAACGAAACAAAAAAATTTTCATTTCTTTCGATGGATTTTCTTCTTCATGTATTTTCAACTTCCTGGCTGGTATCAGCTGCAAAAAAAAAAAAAAAAAAAAAAAATAAAAAAAATAGTTTAAAAATAATTTTAAAAAAAGAAAAAAGAAAAAAAAAAACCAAACCCACCCCACCTCTGATGTCCCAGGTCTGTTATCCTCACAGTCTAAGGTTTTAGGGGTTAAGAGAAACTTCAAATTCCAAGGTCTTTCCGAAATCATCTTTGCAGAAGGTTTATAAGTCATGTGAAATCCTTTTGGAGTCCCTGAGTTTGATGGTCTAGAGATATTAGAGGGCTCGTGGTGGACTGAATTACCTTAGGACTGAATTACCTTTCTTAGCTACAGTTTGTATTTTGCTATGTAGGGTTGTAATGTGAGAATTCCAGAAGAGCCGTAGCATAAAAGTGCTTTTCTATTTTTTAAAAAAAACCCATTCTAGTCTTACTAAGAATTAGAGAATTTTTTTAATATCAGTTTTGTAATTTTTGATAAAGTTGTCAATATTATGATTAAATCACCAGAAAAAACAGTTCCTGTGCTGTTCTCTTCGGGGCAGGGACTTTGTCTTCCGACGGATTATTCGATGCCACGATGGGATGCCCACTCTTAAACGGGGCCACGGGCACCGCTGTGGAATTAAAATAGCAGCCCACAGCTGTGAGGCTGAGTTAAATCCATGAGAGCCAAGAGAATTCCCAGTTCAGCCTGCAGATCCCGTGTGCTCCGGGAAGGCGTCGGCGCCGCGGCCCGCGGGTAAGTCCAGGGAGCCGGCGGCTCTGGAGGCTCCTGCTCACAGCAGCAGGCAGGATCTCATCCAGGATCTGCTCC